ATGCACCGCGGGCGAGGGCGCGAGCGGCGCTCCGCTCACTCCCGCTCTTCCAGGACGCAGGTCCTCTTTCTTACCACCCTCTTCATTTCACAGAGACAGCCCCGGGAGTTCGCCCAGTGCTCCCCGGACTTGGGTGAAGGAAGGCACGGAAAAGTACCCTGCCTGGAGAAAAGTGTGGTTGCTTTTTTTTTTTTATTAAGAGGTTGGGGTGGTATAGGAGGAGGGAGTGCGGGTCTTTAAATCATTCCACTTTTAAAATGATTATAGGTAGTCTCAAGAATACAGGCCACTCGCAGAATTTTAAAGGGCAGGTGGACGCTAAGATACAGGTGGGCTTGGGATTAAGTAATAGATGCCAGAGGTTTTCCACTCCAGCTCCCATGCATCTGGTATCAGAAGACCAGCATTGGCCGAATCCCAGTCAACCTCTCGTCAAAATGATCACGAACAATCCTTGCCCTTGGTCGCCTCCGACAACGTTATTTGGATGGCAGGCGCGGTAGCCTTAAAGAAAATGTTAACATTATCTCAAAGTTACCCCTCAGTCACTCACCCCAGAATAACCAAAGAGATGGGTGTCAAACACCATTTACATCATCCCGAAGCCCGGATGACAAACTTTAAAATGCATTAGGTAAGAAAATTCAAACGCTTAAGTATCGGGCTTCAACATAAAGCCATAGAAGATTCACTTCGTTTTGCCATATCTGGGGTGAAAAATAACCAGCGAGCTTGCTTTAGATAACGTGGCTCTTAAAGAGCTCCTTGGGTTTGCAAGTTACAAACGCTGAGGAGGGAGCCTTCAGTCCTGCCGCTAGGACATCTCTTTCTCCCGGCACAGTAAATGGCTTTTAAGGAAGCAACCGAGTTTATGACATTAAGGTCCTAAAAATGATAAGACTTGCAAGGGCTGCAAAGCAGAAACCTTCATACTTAGTTGATCAGACACTCATTTTCTTAGGTAGGATGGGGGCAAGAATTCTTTGTGTCCCTCAAACTTAATCAGATCAAAGGTTGAATCACGTTGCATCCTGACAACAGGGTGTTTATGAGGTGTGTTACAAGTACACGGGGAGCACTACCACCAGCTTCTGCAAACACACACACACACACACACACACACACACACACACACACACCTCTCCTAGGACAGTTACCATTTCAGCCTCGAATTCATCCAACTGTGAGGAAGTATTCTGTTTGAATAATAGCAATGATACTATGTCCAACCCTATGCCCTATAGGAAACTTTTGGCATTGGATTCAAACACTGAAAAGAAGAAGAAAAAAATCAGGCTGTCCAGGTTAGGTGTCCAGGACAAGAAAGGAGACTTGCTTGAGCATCCCCAGCCTTCATTTCTTCCCTTTGGAAGCCCTCAGCCACGCCCTGCGCCCCATTACTGAAACGACACAGACATGCACAAACACACCAATCACACTTGCGTGATAGGCTACTGTATCAAGTTCTCTAATGGAGATGTGACATTTTAGGTTGGGAATAGAAGTAATCTACCAGCATGCCCATTAAATGCAGTATGGAATGATGTTTCTATTGGTTGGGTCCTTTCGAGGTAAGCGGGTGTCTTGAGCAGGAAAATTTGGATGGAGGATACTGTTTTTCTTCTTTATCCTCCTATTATTTTTTTTGAAGCATCTCAGTGTGCTCGTATGTTAGAGTCAGCCCGTACATAACCTGGTAGGAGTAAAGGATACATACCCTCCACACCGTCAACCGATATGCTCAGTTTGACATTTAAAAGGGAAGAGGGCAGGGAAGGAGGAGGGAGAGAAGAGGGAAGAAGGGAAGCTGAGAGGGAAAAGATTCAGACTCTGGAAGGAATCGCCCCCAAGTTCATGTCCATTGCACCTAGCGCTCCGATATACCTTTTGCACACGCCACACGCGGGAACTAACGGCGGGAAAAGTTTCCTTCGAGCCTTAGTACTTGTCTCACTCCCCGAGTCGAAGTCGGGGTAACCCGCTGGGCAAACGAGGAAGCGCCCCCACCCCCCGCCTCTGCGG